AAAGCAAAAGAAAAGAAGTAATAAAAATTAGAACGGAAATCAATGAAATTGGAAACAGGAAATCAATCGAGAGAAATCAACAAAACCAATGTCTAGCTGACTGACCGAGATTAAACAACAGGGAGAAGACAGAAAACACTAATATCAGATGTGAGAGAAGGTCATCACTACTAATCGCGGGGATATGAAGAAGAATAGAAGTATTATGAACAGACCCATGCCCAGAAGCTTGGTAACTTACATGAAATGGACCAATTCCTCGAAAGGCACAAACTACCACAATTTGCAAGAAGAGAAGGAGAAAATCTGAGTCGGCTTATATCTATTGAAAGAAGTTGAATTAATAATAACCTTCTTAAAAACAAGGCACCAGACTCAGATGGTTCCACTTGGGAATTCCACCAAATATTTAAGCATGAAATTGTACCAATTCCCTAAAATCTTTTGCAGAAAACAGAAGCAGTCATACATACATGTTTGTGTATAATACTATAATGGTCCACACATGACATGTACTTGCAAAACCCACAGACCCACACAAGAGCAGACCTTAAAGCACAGATGTTAGTTAGTGGTCCTGTGCCCAAACTAGTGCACTCAATCCTGACAGCCATGGCCACGGAACATGCGGGATGTTAGGTCAAATGGTGGGATGCAGGAAAGAATACAGGGGCTCTGTACCATCGCCTCCATTTTCCTATAAACCCAAAACTGTCCCAAAAGCAAAGTTTATTAATGAAAATATAATTCTAGATATAGTAGAATATTTATATCCCTTCTTAAAATAAAACAGAAAACAAAGACACCCACAAAGAGCTGGAGAGGAGACAGCGGGCAAGGGACTGGGCGCAGGAAGGAGGTGGCTTGCTCCTGTGCTCACTCGGTCCGAGTCAAAAGACACAAAAGTCCAGGCTCAATGGGGGCAGCTGCAAGGCACCGACCGAGAATTCCATACCCAACAAAAATATTCTTCAGAAGTCAAACTGTAAGGAACACATTTTCACACTGGGAAAAACTGAATTAATTGCTCAGCATCAGAGCCACACCGAAGGGCATTTTGCGAGCAGAAGAAAATGATCCCAAGGAAATGATCCCAGGTGGATGCCCAGGGATGCAGGTGGTAATGAAAAAAAATAAAAAGGGTGAGAAACATACATCTATATGAACATACAAGACAACAGTAACTAACTGGACTGCTACATGCAAAACAATGAAACTGGTCCACTTTCTTACAGCATATACAACACCCTCAACATGGATGAGAGGCCTAAATATGAAACTGGAAACCATTAAAATCCTAGAAGAGAACACAGGCATGGCCGTGGCAACATTTTACTAGATAAGTCTCCCGAGGCAGGGGAGAGAAAAGTAAAAATAAACTACTGAGACTTCATCAAAATAAAAAGCTTCCGCACAGCGAAGAAAACCATCAACAAAACTAAAAGGCAACCTACTGAATGGGGGAAGATATTTTCAAATCACATCTCTGATAAAGGGTTAGTATCCAAAATACAAAGAAGTTACAAAACTCAACACCCAAAAAACAAATAATCCAGTTGAAAAGGGGGCAGCAGATGTGAACAGACATTCTCCAAAGAGGTTAACCAGAGGGCCAGCAGCCACATGGGAAGAGGCTCGACATCACTCATCCTCAGGGACATGTGAGTCAAAACCACCAGGAGGTACCACTTCACACCTGTCACAGCGGCGAAAATCAACAACAGAAGCAACGACGGGTGTCAGCAAGGGTGTGGAGAGAAAGGATCCCCCATGCGATGTTGCTGGGGATGCAAGCTGGTGCAGCCACTCTGGAAACCGAATGGAGGTTCCTCAGAAAGTTAAAAATAGAACAATCTTATGATCTAAAAATTGCACTACTAGATATTTACCCAAAAAATATGAAATCACTAATTAGAAAAAATACATGCACCCCTGTGTTTATCGCAACATTATGCATAATAGCCAAACTATGGGAGCAGCCCAAGAGTCCACTGATCGATAAATGGAAAAAGAAGCTGTGATATATATATTCATTCTATACTGAGGAGTATTATTCAGCCAGGAAAAGAATGAAATCATGCCATTTGCAATGACATGGATGGTCCTGGAGAGTATAAGGCTAAGCGAAATAAGTCAGAGAAAGACAAATCTGTGATTTCACTCGTACGTGGAATTTAAGAAATAAATGAGCAAAAGAAAAAAAAGAGACAGACCAAAAAGCAGACTCTCAACTATAGAGAACACACCGATGGTCACTAGGTGGGGCGGAGACAGGTGGTGGGGACTAAGGGTGCGCTTGTGGAGATGAGCACTGGGTGTCGTATGGAAGCGATGACTTGGCTCTATTGTACACCTGACACTAAACATAATACAGTGTGGTAACTATCCTGGAATTCTCGTTTTAAAAAAATATAATGATGGTATGTTTTCAGCTACAGGTGTGTGTGTGTGTGTGTGTGTGTTGTGTAAAGTGCTCAACAAGAACAGTCTGTAAATGGACAAAAGCTCAATAGATACCGTGTTTTAAGGTCCTTTGAATCATCTAGAAGAGAAAGAAGTATTTATTTTTTATGAGACTTTGAAAGTCTGCTGTAATCACCATAACAGGCACTAAAAAATTGCATTAAAGCATAACGACAAGATGATGAGGGGGAAATGGTTAGTCTATAACAAAGTATTAAAAACAAACAAAAAAGAACATGAGCAAAAGGCAGGTAGTGAGGTGGTTAGTCTAATAGCACGTTTATCCAGCGCCTGGGTGGCGCTGTCAGGCGAGCCTCCCGACTCTCGATTTTGGCTCAGGTTGTGCTTTCAGGGTTGAGAGATCGAGCCCTATGTGGGGCTCAGCACCCAGCGGGGCGTTTGCTTGGGATTCTCTCTCCCTCTGACCCTCCCTCTGCCCCCACTCACTTGCCCAAGTGCACTCTCTCTCTAAAATAAATAATTCTTTGAAAAAAAAAAGGGAAATTAATTACTAATTGCAACTAAATTAAATATTTCAATTTTAAAAAAACAAAGATTTTCAGACTGTATAAAACTACAAAATCTATCTCTAACCTGTGTAGGAGCGACATCATAATAAAATAATGAGGAAACAATCATAACAAAACTTGAGAAAGTAAAAGGCACAAAGGCTATATTAAAAGGAAGCTGATAACATCTGTATTAATATCACACAAAGGAGATTCAAAGATCAAAAGAAATTATAAAGTCTATTTCATGATAATAAAAGGCTAAATGGACCAGGAAGATAATTATTTTCAGTCTATATGGGCCTAATAAAGATATGCTGCCATAATTGACAAAATTAAAGGGAGAAATAGGCAAACTTACAGTGAAGCTGGGAAATTCCAATGGTGGTCTCTCAGGATTGAAAAAAAAGGGAGAAACATCACTGAGGACATGGAAAATCTTACAGTATGATTAACAACTGATATGCAGAGACTTAAAAGACACCGCATTCAACAACACAGACCGCACGTGATTCTGATGGGTGCATGGACCATTTACAAACATCGGCTCCCTAGGGGATCATACAACACATCCCAGAGTGTGGTCTTTAACACAATGAAACTAAGCTATAAATAAATAATTTGGTGATCACAAAATGTTGGAAATTAAATCTACTTCTAAATAACCTTGTAGTCAAAATAAAAATCACACTAAACTGGTATTTTGAAATGAATGATAAGAAAAATATAACGTATCTTAACTACAGCATGCATCTATGTTTACAGCCTGAAAGGCACAAGAGGGAAAAAAACAATCATCAAGTAGCTCAAAAGTTAGAACAACAAATTAAAAAGGAAAAGGGAAAAGTATACAAATAGAAGTTAATGAGGCAGAATACATGTGGTACAGAATCAAGAACGCCAGAAGCCAGTTCATTCAAGTGAGCAGTAAGACCGACAAACTCTTTGTGAGACAGTTCGAGAGAGCAAGCACTTACACAACCAAACAGCCAGACTGAAAAAGAAGACACAGCTGCAGGTCATCAAGATGAATGATCATCCATAAAGAAAATCCAAACGACTTTGAACTTACTAAAAGAAATCAAAGCCCCAATTTAAAATCTTCCCAACAAGAAAATCCCACAGGCACAGATCTCTTCACTAGTGAAATCTACCCAACCCTTAAAGAAGATATACCCTGATCTCACAAACGCCATCACAGAGAAGAGAAAAAAAGAATCCCTGACTCATTTTATCAAGCCAGAAAAATCTATGACATCAAAACCTGATAAGGAATTTGGAAGAAATGAGAATTAGTTGTCAAAATCTCATAAACACAGAGGCAAAAATCCCTATCTGACTTACTAGCAAATCAAACTAGGCATTACTCAGGAAGGAAAACCATACATAGGTTTGCTTATTCCTGAAATGCCAGCTCGGTTTAACATTTGAAAATCAATTAATTTGATTTTCCACATTAACGGAGTAAAGAAAAATCATATGATCATCACAGTACATGCAGAAAAAGCATTTGATAAAAATTCAACATCTATTCATGGTGAAGACAATAAACAAAAATGCTCTTAGTAAATGAGAACTGTAAGGGAATTTCACCACAGTCTGCAACAGGGAAAAGTGTGAACATATTTCCTTCTGACACACCTGTTACCAAAGCACTTCTGTTTGAAACAGTACTGGAGATCCTGAGCAGCAGCAGGAGGGGAGAATGGCCATAAAGGTACAAGGAAGTAAAAACTATTATGAGTAGATGACACACTGTGAACACAGAAAATCCAATGGAATCCACAAATAGCTTATTAAAAAAAAGTTTAGAATGTTGCTGGATCAAACTCAATAATCAAAGTTTAATTATATTTCTCTGTGCCAGCAAAAAATTGTTAGAAAAATAAACTTTAGAGAAGATGCCATTTATAATAACACACAAAACAAAAACACACAAAAAACAAATCTACGAGAGGTCTACTAGAAAGCCCTATAAAACACTGAGAGGAAAAAGAGATGACCTAAAAAGCACAGAAGCATACATACCATGTTCATGGATCAGATGCACCCTTACCAAGATGGTGCTACACCTCCAACAGAGATCTCAGCAGGCTTACTGACTTCTAAACCCCACATGAAAACATAAAGGGTCACCACCAGCCAAGGCAGCCAGGGAGGAAGGACTGGCTCTATCAGGTAACAGGGCTGAGCAGAGTCCCAGGGATGGAGGCAGTGTGGTCTGGGGAAAAAGAGAGAGAAACAGACTGGTGCATAGGGGGACCCTGGTTTTACCACATAAGCAGCTCAGTGGGGCGGTGAGAAAGGAAGCGTTTCATAAGTCAAGTTGACAGGACATAGTTGCAGGGGAGATGGGGGGAGCTCGCCATGACACAGTCAAGCTTTGTGCTCTGAGCCCTCAGGGTGGAAAGGCCAAGCGGAAAAGAAGATAATACTGACACATACATCAGTGACCATGGGGCAGGTGAGGGTTCCCTAGAGAGGACATGGGAAATGATAACCAACAAGGAATTTTCACACGATAAATTAGACTGCATTATAGTTTGGATCTTTTAAGTCGGAGAGAGTGAAAACCAGCTACAGGCAGAAGGCATCTGCGTGCAAACACCTGACTAAAGGCCAGCATGCAGAAAGCATGAGGAATTCTTACTGATCGTAAAGAGAACAGCAGATGAGAGAAAACTAGACAGTGGGTGTGCCGGGGGCCTCACTAGAGGGGCCTCCACCCGCCGGGAGGCACATGAAGAGGTGCCCGCCCCCGTCCACACCCTGGGAAATAAACGCAAACTGGAGACACAGGCAGACCCACCACCCACACTGACACGCAGCTGCCTAGCTGAACGCTCCAGTGAGAGCAGGCTCTGAGGCTACAGGAGTGCTCGCTCACTGCCAGCAGGTGTGCACCCCATCACACGCACAGAAGTGGACCCCTCCCGTGCCCCACGTCACGTGCCCGTGGCGGAGCAGCTCACTCCTGGGTGCTCAGGCACCAATTCAGATCTAAGTGCACCAAAAGACAAGTGGAGAACGTTCACACCAACACTGTTCACCCTCACCCAGAAGCGGAGAAACTCAAAATTATACACGAATGCGTGCATGAAAAAGCATAATGTGGTCCACTCAGAGAACAGAAAGAAGTAACTGCCCACAGAAACCTGATTTTGAGCATGAGAAAGCAAATACAAAAGATTACATGTTGTAGGATTCCATTTACATAAAACTTAAAAACAGGGAAGGGGGTGCGCAGTGTTCACAGCAGAAAGGCATCGCCTTGTGCGGTGTCATGGGAAAGAGGGGCATCCGGGGTGCCAATGATGGCACTAGCTGTCCATCTGGGAGCTGAGCACAAGGGACTGGATTTCCTGTGACTCACAGGCTCGTCCTCTTAGGACAGCTCTTGATGTACGTGTGCTGCAGGCCAGTGCAAAGCTGAAACAAATAAATAGTAAACAAACAAGATTCTGTAGTTTTAAAAGCGTGGCTGTGGCTGTCCAGTCACACCAAAAACAGCTCATCGGAAAGCAATATCGAGACCAGAGACCAACTCCCTGAGGCAGCTTGATCCTCAGTCAGGTGGTGGCATGGCAGGGCTGCCCAAGGGAGTTCTGAAAATCATACTGCACGGTCTGGAAAGGGGGCGCTTGGGGGGCTCTGGGCAAGGATTGCTGAGGGTGAAAACTTCAGAAGGCTGGCCCAGAGCTTGGATGACAATGGAGTGACAGGGTAAGGACCAGTGAAGCATGACAGAGTCAAATGTCCACAAATCGGGAGCAAAGCCCCCCAGAACCAATGCCAGTGGGGGGGGCGGGGGGGGGAGCCCTGCCAGGAGACCCGGGCTGTGTTCCCGAGAATTCAGCCTGGGGTCTCGCAGACAGGGCTTTTCCCCACACTCTCCCAGAGATGCTGGGGGCGGGGGGCGAGGCAGCAAACACGCATCCCCTGTGAGGCCAGCGACATCCTGGTAAGCACAGGGCTCCGGACTGGCTTGTGCAAATGCTGGGCACTGCCAAGCTTCCACAACAGGCAGTGGAACGCTCAAGAAAGCGGCAGAAACTTCGTCTGGGCTTGGTGAGATGCTTCTAAACACACCCATGTCGCCCTGGTGGGTCCGCTAGAAGAGCTGGCCCATGGTCCCACACACCACTGTCCCCTTCTCAACACAAAGGAGCCGAGACCCCACTCCCAGCAGCTTTCCAGGGGCCTCGGGATCTCCTGTGCCCGCAGCCACCACACCTGACAGCAAACACCTGATGACACCTCATTCCCGCCTCTGGGTCCTACCACCTTCTCTGCTGCTGTGACTCTTTGCAGTCTTTCGAGCGGCTCACCTTACCACCCGGAGAGCGAGGCCAAGCACTCCTTCCTACAGGCTGGCGGGCACAGGGCAGGCCTGACACCGGGCAGGTCCACCAGCACCCTCGGGCGTCCCCCCAACAGCAGCAGGAGGCCAGGAGCCCACCCCAGCACGGACCACGGCCCTCCCCAGCCCATCCTCGGCCAGCAACTGTGGCCAGGCAGGGGAAGGGGGAACCTGCTGCTCGTGTCCTCACTGCCAGCCACCTTCCCACAGTCTCAACCTCCCGATGAAAAGCCCTACAACAAAGCAGGAATCAACTGAGATTTCCCAAAGCAATTTTACTGAGATCTCACACTCCCTAATACAAACTGCCATTTCATTTATGGTGGGTATAGGACGCGTCTGTGGCCATCACTCCTGACAGCAGCGCGGTACACGCGTGCGGATGATCCAAGCAGGCAGCCTTGCGTCCGTGCTGTGTGTGTGTGGGGGGGGGCACATGGGTAGAGCGCGAGCTGCCGTGGCCTGGCTCTGGGTCAAGCACCGTTCACTGGAGCTGGGGGGCGGAGGGATGGTCTGATGACTGGGGTCCCAGCCAGCTCGCCGGAGTCAGAGCGGCCCCTCCCTCTCCGAGCCCTGTCCCCGCCACGGCTGTAAAGCAAAAGCTGAACGAGATGGGCCGGCTTTCCCCGCTGGAAGGTTTCGGCATGGGCACCAGAGCCCAGGTGGACCCCCCACGTGCGAGGTGCCCAGCGAGGTGGTGACTGCACGCCATGGCTCACTGGGCCTCTCCTTCACTGTGGGGTGCCCAGCGCCTGGCACAGCGCCCCACAGCTAACAGCCATTCAGTAAATATCCATTCGGCCATCATGCGAGTGAACATGACAGTCCGTCGCGCCATCTTTGGAACAGCCAGGGGAGGCAGGGGCTCACCCTCTCAGGTGAGGAAACAGGCTTATGGAGTTCCTGAACTTGCTCAACGTGACCAGGGTCCTCAGGTGCTCGTGATGGCGCTGAGATCTGAGCCCAGGTTTGCAGGAAGCAGGGGCCGGGGGCTCAGCTGTTGTGCTGAAGGTGGCATGGAACCCAGGATGGAGACACATTTTATAAACCCAGGCTCCATGACAGCTCCTAGCCCACGGCCCTGGGATCACAGAGCATAGGAAGGTAACGGGCAACAGTGACCCCAAGGCCTTCACCACTCACTAAAGCACCAAACCCCGTGCCTCTAGGACACAGGACATGACCCAATTAGTTCTAATTTTAAAAGTCCTTCCTCAAACGAGAAGATCAGACACTAGTCAGGCTTTGTCCTTCCACCTGGCCCTCTCTAAGGAGCTGACCCCAGAGCTCAGGGAGGGGCTCCCCCTGCCAGACCCTCCTTCGGAGCACTGCTCTGCTGACCAGACAGAAATCTAGACAGGGGCTCCGAGCTCAATGACCCATCACTGGGAAGCATCCCCAACAAGACCAAGGGAGGTCACGCTGCTCTGCATCCTCAATTGGAAGTTCACGTCTGGGGCACCTGGGTGGCTCAGTCGGTTAAGCATCTGTCCGGTCCTGCATCGGGCTCTCTGCTCAGTGAAGAGCTCTGCTTCCCCCTTTCCTCCTGGCTCCTCCTGTCTGTCTCTCTCAAATAAATAAAATCTTAGAAAGAAAGTAAGTAAATAAGTTAGCTCGTGTCCAGTGGCATGGATGTCCCCCTGAGCTTAGAGCAGCTCTACAGGAAGCCCTGCTCTCCTAGACCTCAGCCTGGGGGGAGAGTTGGAAGTAAATGCCGAAAAAGCAAGTAGGGCCACGAAGGAGAAAACACGGGGGAGGTGGGGGTGAGGACGCCTAGGCAGGAGGCCGCGGCAGCACACCAGGAACAGAACCAGCTCGGATGGCAGGGTGCATCAGGCAACTCTCCAGAAGGACAGCAAAGGGGCATCGGCTCAGGTGACTGTCCAAGCCCCATCTTCTACCCTGCAGCGCCACTTCCACACGCGGGTTCCTCTCCACCTCTGGGTCCGCGGGATACCCCCACCCCATGCACTGCTCTCTCAGCTTGGCCACGTGGCCTCATGCCATCAGGGTCTCGGCACACGCATGCTGACAGCCCCACAGGCCCAGGACACCAGAAAGCTCACACCCAGATCCACCACCTTCACTCATCCCATAAACACCGCAGGCCACCAACCACCGGGTCCCCAGGACGGAGCAACCAACGAAAAGGCCTGCTTTCAGCTCTTCACACTGCCGCGTCTATGGCAGGTCCTGGACTCCAGGCCCCACATGGCACCAGGGCAGGCGTGAGTGAGTGACTCTGCCAGGGGCCTCGGTTCTGTCAGCCAGGAAACATGAGGAATCTCCTTTCATCGGTTTATGTTTAAGACCAAGTAGGGTCATTTATGTAAAACCCATAATATCAATTTATTCTTACCCCGACCTTCTTGGAGTGTCTTTGCCCATTAAACAGCAAAATACAAGTCTGGGGGGCGCCTGGGTGGCTCAGTGGATTAAGCCGCTGCCTTCGGCTCAGGTCATGATCTCAGTGTCCTGGGATCGAGCCCCACATCGGCCTCTCTGCTCAGCAGGGAGCCTGCTTCCCCCTCTCTCTCTGCCTGACTCTCTGCCTACTTGTGATCTCTGTCAAATAAATAAAATCTTTTAAAAAAAAATACAAGCCTGGTTATTCCCACTGAACCACTGGACTGGGGCCGCTCAGGGTGGGGTGGGGAGAGGGGATGGCCCAGGACGGGGGACCCACTATAGTGGGTGACCCAGGGCAGGGGCCTGCTTGGGTGGGGGGGGAATGTCCCAGGAGAAGGGCGTCCCAGGACAGGGGCCCTGCTGGGGTCGGGGGGTCCATCCACACACTCTGTGGCCCACCATCCGGCCATCATCACAACTTCCTATTTAGGTCAGGACTCTCTGTGCCTCCCTGACCACACGGCGAGCTCCACGG